AGTGCTTCTATGCACGTGTCCACACTGGTGGGGGATTCTATCGTTGTAGATCATGTCTATCGTTTGTGTGTGGTTACTATTGGGAGTCTTGAGACTAGCGTGGATCTTCTACTTCTTGATATGGTAGATTTTGACGTCATACTGGGTATAGATTGGCTGTCACCTTATCATGCTATATTGAATTGTCATGCCAAGAAGGTGACCCTAGCCATGCCGGGGTTACCTCGATTAGAGTGGAAAGGAAATCCTGGTCACTCTACCTGTAAGGTTATTTCTTATATGAAGGCTCGGCGTATGGTCGAGAAGAGGTGTCTAGCCTATTTGGCTGGTATTCTCGATCCCAGTGTGGATATTCCTTCTATGAACTCAGTACCAGTTGTTCGTGAATTTCCAGAAGTATTTCCTGCAGATTTGCCGGGGATGCCACCTGACAGAGATATTGACTTATGTATTGATTTGGCTCCGGGCACTCAGCCCATTTCTATTCCACCATACCGTATGGCCCCACCGGAGTTGAAAGAATTGAATGAGCAGTTACAAGACTTGCTTGATCAGGGATTCATTAGACCTAGCATCTCGCCCTGGGGTGCATTGGTGTTATTTGTAAAGAAGAAAGATGGTTCAATGCAGATGTGTATAGATTATCGGCAGTTAAACAAGGCTACTATTAAGAACAAGTATCCACTGCCAAGAATTGATCACTTATTCGATCAGCTTGAGGGTGCCAAGGTGTTTTCAAAGATCGACTTGACGTCTGGTTACCATCAGTTGAAGATTAGGGCATCCGATGTCCATAAGACAGCTTTTCAGACTCGATATGGGCATTACGAATTCCTAGTGATGTCATTTGGACTGACAAATGCCCCAACAGCATTTATGGATTTGATGAACCGGGTACTCAAGCCGTATTTGGATTCTTTTGTGGTTGTATTCATTGATGATATCTTTATTTACTCCAGCAGTTGAGAGGAGCATGAACAACATCTTCGGATTGTGCTTCAAACCTTGAAGAATAATCACTTATATGCTAAATTTTCAAAATGTGAATTTTGGTTAGACTCAGTTGCCTTTTTGGGGCATGTTGTATCGGGAGAAGGCATAAAAGTGGATCCTAAGAAGATTGAGGCAGTTCAAAATTAGCCTAGACCAACTTTAGCTAAAGAGATCTAGAGTTTCTTGGGTTTGGCAGGTTATTATCGCCAGTTTGTGGAGGGGTTTTCTTCTATAGCATCTCCATTGACCAAATTGACCCATAGGGTGCCCCATTCAGATGGTCAGACGAGTGTGAGTTGAGCTTTCAAAAGCTAAAGAGTGCTTTGACTACGGCGCCAATGTTGGTATTACCCACAGGTTCAGGATCTTATATGGTATATTGTGATGCATCTCGCATTGGGCTTGGTGCAGTATTAATGCAATATGGCAGAGTGATTGCATATGCGTTGCGATAGTTGAAAGTTCACGAGAAGAATTATCCCGTTCATGACTTAGAATTGGCAGCCATTGTTCATGCGCTGAAGATTTGGAGGCATTATCTTTACGGTGTCTTGTGTGAGGTATTTACTGATCATCATAGCCTACAGTATCTATTCAAATAAAAAGATATCAATTTGAGGCAGAGAAGATGGTTGGAACTGTTGAAAGACTATGATATCACCATTTTGTTCACCCCAGAAAAGCCAATGTGGTGGCCGATACTTTAAGTAGAAAGGCTATGAGTATGTGCAGCCTTGCATATATTCTGGTTGGTGAGAGGCCATTAGTTGCCGATGTTCAGACTCTGGCTAATCAGTTCATGAGGTTAGATGTTTCAGAGTCCAGTTGGATTCTAGCTTGCACAGTCGCTTAGTCTTCCTTGTACGAGCGTATCAAAGAGCGACAGTATGATGATCCTCATTTGCTTGTCCTTAAGGACAAGGTGCGGCACAATGGTGCCAAACAGGTTACTGTAGGGGACGATGGAGTTCTGCGGATGCAGGGTCGTATATGTGTTCCTAATGTGGATGGGCTTCGTGAATTAATTCTTGAAGAGGCCCATAGTTCCCGGTATTCTATTCATCCAGGTACCGCTAAAATGTATAAAGATTTACGGCAACATTATTGGTCGAGAATAATGAAGAAGGATATAGTTGCATATGTAGTTCGGTGTCTGAATTGTCAGCAAGTTAAGTACGAGCATAACAGACCTGGTGGTTTGCTTTAGAAATTAGAAATTCTTGAGTGGAAGTAGGAGCATATCACTCTGGATTTTGTTGTTGGGCTCCCACGGACTCAGAGGAAGTTTGATGCAGTATGGGTTATTGTGAACAGATTGACCAAGTCAGCACATTTCATTCCAGTAGTAGTTACCTATTCCTCATAGTAGTTAGCTGAGATTTACATCCGCGATATTGTTTGCCTTCACGGTGTGCCCGTGTCTATCATTTATGATCGAGGTACCTAGTTCACCTCGCACTTCTGGAGGGCTGTACAACGTGAGTTAGGCACGCGGGTTGAGTTGAGTACATTATTTCATCCACAGACAGACAGACAATCAGAACACACTATTCAGATATTGGAAGATATGATTCGCGCTTGTATTAGGTTCTTGGGATCAGTTCTTGACACTTGTAGAGTTTTTCTATAATAATAGCTACTAGTCGAGCATTCAGATGGCTCCGTAGGAAGCATTATACGGGAGGCGATGCCATTCGCCAGTTGGCTAGTTTGAACCGGGAGAGGCTCGATTATTGGGTACTGATTTGGTACAGGATGACTTGGATAACGTCAAGGTTATCCAGGATTGACTTCGCACAGCTCAGTCTAGGCATTTCATCCACAGACAGACGGACAATTAGAACGCACTATTCAGATGTTGGAAGATATGCTTCGCGCTTGTATTATAGATTTTGGAGGTTCTTGGGATTAGTTCTTGACACTTGCAGAGTTTGCCTATAATAACAGCTACCAGTTAAGCATTCAGATGGCTCCGTAGGAAGCATTATACGGGAGGCGATGCCATTCGCCAGTTGGCTGGTTTGAACTGGGAGAGGCTTAGTTGTTGGGTACTGATTTGGTACAGGATGCCTTGGATAAAGTCAAGGTTATCCAGGATCCACTTCGCACAACTCAATCTAGGCAAAAGAGTTACACCGACTGTAAAGTTCGTGACGTTGCATTCATGGCAGGAGAAAAAGTATTGCTCTGGGTTTCACCTATGAAAGGTGTAATGATATTCGTGGGTGAAGTAGCCTTTAGGCTTGCACTACCACCTAGTTTATCAACAGTTCATCCGGTGTTCCATGTGTCTATGCTCCGAAAATATCATGGTGATCCGACCCATGTGTTAGATTTCAGCTCAGTCCAATTGGACAAGGATTTGACTTATGATGAGGAGCCGATAGTTATTCTAGCCCGGTAGGTCCGACAGTTGTGATCTAAGAGTTATTCTTCAGTTCGGGTGCAATGGAGAGGTCAGCCGATTGAGGCAGCTACCTGGGAATCCGAGTCGGACATGCAGAGTAAATATCCACATATTTTCACCAGCTCAGGTACTTTTCTAATTTCGTTCGAGGACGAACGTTTGTTTTAGAGGTGGAGAATGTGATGACCCAAAATGTCGTCTTTAATTTAAACATTCATTTATGCGTTCTAAGACCTTGAAAAGCACTATTTATCATTCCTCGACTTGCGTGCACAGTCCGTACAAATTTCCGAAAAGTTTTTATATGAAATATTGACTAAAATGTTAGAGCTTTAAAACTCAACTGAGTTGACTTTAGTCAACATTTTGAGAAAACAGACTCGGATCAGTGTTTTGACAGTTCCAGTAGGCCTGTATCGTGATTTAGGACTTGGGAGTATGCCTGAAATTGAATTCGGAGGTCCCTAGCTCAAATTATCGCTATTTAACGAAAACTAAAAATCTAAAGGTTAAAGATTTCCAAAGTTTAACGGCGAAATTGACTTTATTGATAATGGACTCGGATTGAGATTCCAAAAATTGGAATAGCTCTGTTCTGTCATTTATGACTTGTGTGCCAAATTTGAAGTCATTCTGAATTCATTTAACATGTTTCAGTACGAGTTTTGTATATTGCAAAGTTTGAAATTCATAAGTTCGAATCGAGGAGTGAATTATAATTTCGATGTTATTTGACGTGATTTGAGACCCCGAGTAAGTCCGCATAATGTTACGGGACTGGTTGGTATAATTGGACGAGGTCACGAGTGGCTTGGGTGAGTTTCGAACGTATTTCGGACCATTTTGGTAAAAACTTGAAGGTCTAGTTCTGGTGTTTCACACTTGCGCAATTTTGGCCGCAGGTGCGTGATCGCTTCTGCGGAGGCAGTGTCACTTCTGCGGCTTTGAGGCCAGGAGAGAAGCTTCCTTTCTGCGAATCTTGGGTGCGATGCCCGCTTCTACGGTGCCATGATCGCAGATGCGATCTTTTGCGCTTCTGCGGTTCCCTTCGCGCATCTGCGCAGTCGCTTCTGCGGTGTGAAGGTCCGCAGATGCAGTCCTTTGCTTAGCTGCCATGTTCTGTAAATGTGATCTTTGTCTCGCAAATGTGAGTCCACGGATGCGTAAATTTGTCCGCAGATGCAAAAACGCTTGGACAGAACACATAAAAATTGGGTGTTAGCCATTTTTACTCATTTTTGAGTTTTGAGTTTTGAGTCTCGGATTTGGGCGATTTCAAAGGGGTTTTTCACGACTTCGACTTGGGTAAGTGTTCTATACCCGAAAGTAATTATATTTCATAAATCCATGCTTATATGCATTGTTTATTTCGGATTTAGATGGAAGAAAATTAGAATTTTTGTAAAACGTCCCATAAACAAAATTTAAGATTTGAAGGTCCATTTGACATCGGAATTTGATAATTTTTGTATGGTTGGACTCGTCTTTGTAATGACCCGACAGGTCGTTTTGCTTTTTCGTTAGTTTCGAGCCATTCGAAAATTGGAAGGAAAATGAATGAACTGAAGATTTTTCATTACTGAGAATGGCAGATGCCCCAATCCAACTTGCCATTGGAGTACATTAGAATCCTCTGTATTGGAATTATAAACAGAACAAGAAACTTCACTAGGAACTAGAATGGAATTACTTTCTTGTGGAATTGAAAATACATTGGTATTTAAACTAGAACGAGAATCCTTCTTAGGTGGGCTAGCCTCTAGCAGGTACAATCCTTCTCTTAATTCACCAAAAACTTGTCCCCTCCTTATTAAAGGGACCTGCATGATGCATCCACTAGAAGTTAGATTGAGTGAGCAATGAAATTGGACACACAACTTATGGACTGAGAGTAAATTATATTTGAAAGAAAGAACATAAAGAACCCTTTCAAGAATCATATCAGACTGAATAGGAACACTACCTATGTATGTGACATATAATTCAAATGAGTTAGGTAGGCTAATATGTACAGGAACAGGAAGTGGATCTAAAGTTAAGAAACAATTTGAATCAAAACACATGTGTTCAGAAGCCCATGAATCAATGATCCAGGTTTTTGTCTTAAAAACTGCCAAACAAGTTCCAGTGTATTTAAGTATAGTACCAGCTACTGCATTTGCATTGATTGCAGTTCATGGTGTTGCTGTAGTTCCAAATTGTGCCTGCTTGATTAGGTTCATCAGCTCAGACACCTGTTCCTTACTGAAAAACTGAGTTTGAGGTGTTGCATCATTGCTCTGAGTGCTCCCATTGTCATTGTCTTGTCCCTCAATTATAGCATTAGCCTTGACTTGTGTTGATCTGGTGAATTGGAAATCATCTGGAAACCCATTTATCCTGTAACAGTCTGCCCTGACATGCCCAATTTTCATGCAATGTGTACAGCTCACATTAGGATTAAATTTTGCTTTCCTTCCCTTAGGTTTCTGTTGTGTGTTATTAACCTTTTGTGAGTTAATCCATGACTTTTGTTGTGACTGGTTGTTGTTTCTCTGTGGAGCCCTACCTTGAACTCCTACCATGAATGAGGAAGTATCAGCATTGAACTGTGGTCTTGCATGTATCTCCTTTTTATTTTCATCTTGAAGAAGGAGAGAATAAGCAAAATATATTCCAGGCAATGGATTCATCATAAAGATGTTTCCTCTAGCTTGGGAATAGACATCATTTAGTCCCATTAGAAACTAAATGATCATTTGGTCTTCTAAGAACTTTGTGACTTTTCTTTTTCCATCACAAATGCAGTCACAAGAGCAGACCAGATGAGGGTTGAGAGAATCAAGTTCATCCCATAATTTCTTAAGTTTGATAAAATATCCAGCAATAGTGTTGTTACCTTGAACTAACATTGATATTTCCTTTTGCAGTTGGTACAACTTGACTCCATTAGTTTGTCCAAATATGTGTTCAAGGCTATTCCACAAAATTTTTGCAGATGTTGAATAGATGACACTGACACCTATCTCCTTGGATAAAGAATTCAGAAGCCAATAAGTCACCATGAAGTTGCATCTGCTCCATTGAGGGTGATCTTGTGCATCTGGTTTTGGCTCCTCACATACCCCATTTATGAAGCCTATCTTGTTTTTGGCTGAAAGTGTTATGAGAATTGATCTCCTATTAAAAGCAAGACAGGGAAAAGCAAAAAGAAGATGCTATGAGCAGCACTTTTAGAAAAGATAAATCCAGCTCAGTTGAAAATTTAACCAAACAGACATTGTAATTCAATTTAATTTAGTGTATAAATTGTTCTCTGTCTAAACACAGAGAAAAATCATTCTAAAAGCTAAATATAGAGAAACTCTTGCTTTGGTAGGCTAATGAATAAAATTGTGCGACTCCGAGGGTCATATGATACTCAAGGAATCTGTAAAAACCATTCTATCTATGAAGATGAAAATGAAGATGAACCTACAAAGAACAGCACAGTCGCGGTAAAATTTACTAAACAAGCACGCGTCAAAGCTAGAAAGAAAAGCGTGTATCTTTTTTTGTAACAGTTGGAGAGCTTAGGGCTTTTTCCTAATTTTTCAGCCACTGCTATATGAAGGAATAAGGGCAAAACAGGAATAAGGTAGAGTTTTATGGTTTTTTTGTAAAATCACATTGACCGGAAGCTGGTCTCCGTTCTCCTTTCTATTAAGTAGTAAAATCAAACTTATCTCCTTCTGTAATTTGTTATCTTTTCTGTTTGATTTGGATGAAGCAACCAAAACAAAACGACTCTTCTTCAATTAAGATCCTATCTAACTGGGCGAAGCCCAATTCCTACCCAGCCGCTGTCCCAATCGTGAGTCCAAAACTTGGACAAACCTTAACAAAACCCACCAACCCTATTTTTTGGGTAAAGATCGTTTTTCGCTGGCGACCGGAATTATTTATATCCGGTAGTCGTAAGTGTATCAAACTTATATATATATATATATA